CTTAACGATAAAAATTATCTGTTGACGGTTTCACATTATCTGTTAACGGTTAGCATTATCTGTTAACGGTTAACATTATCTGTTAACGGTTAACATTATCTGTTAACGGTTAACATTATCTGTTAACGGTTAACATTATCTGTTAACGACTAACATTATCTGTCAACGATTTAACATTACTGATTTTTTTTTAAGTTAACGTTGAATTTATCGTTGCAATCTGGGTAATATGAAATTAAACAAATGTAGCCAACGGAGCATCTTCAATCATTTCTGTATTAGATGCAATCCAAAAATTTCTATTTCTTAATTTATTTTGAAGCACAAACAATTTCGATTAAATAAGTCACTCTCCTCTTTTCTATCAAATGATACAAAAACTTTTTAACTTTTTACACTTCCACTTTAGTTGAATGGCGAAAATGCGAAAGTTGTGTGCTGAATTCGTAATTGAGATGAAGCTTTGAAGGCGAAAAGAGCATAGCAGTAAGACAGATGAATGCCATTAATGCTAAAGATGCAGGAAAGACGTAAATCTAAAATTATTAGGAAGGAGCGAAAAAAAAATTAAAATTAATTTCAACTTTATTTTGGTATAATTCAACAGTTTAAAAAGTTAGTTTTTAAATGAAAAGTGAATAATATATTAACTTTTTCTGCAATTTCTTTCCAATCTGATGAGTTTTCATCCATTAGGACAACATGACATAACCGCTGTCTCTTTATCTTTATCTTTGAACAGTTCATCGTTCCACCGTTTTCAGTAATTACCGTCTCCTATACACATACGGATTCCATTATCGTCCATGCTTTTGCATCTTATGTATAACAGGATTCTAAAGTTTGAACTTTATTCGTCGAGAGATCACTTTACTTTTCAAGTGCCAAATCAGTCCAAAGTAGCTGCTGTTGGACTACTTCATAGGTAGATGAAACAAATGTCAAAAGTATCATAGGAACTAAACAGCAAATGGCCCGACTCTTTCTTTGATGAGAGCAAATATTTGGTCTTATCTGGAGAAAGCAAAACTCACGGTGGTGTTGTTAAGCCCAACGATTTCAATACAATTAGCATACGCCCGTAATTGTAGAATTTTAAGGAAAAAGTTTGCATCTGTCTTCTTTTTTCAGCACCATGGCTCGTATTATTTTTATTTTACCGTGAATAAAGGCTCGGAGAAGAAGCTCCTTTTCATGCTGCTTTAAAATCCATCCTCATTGATTAGGGTTTCGGGCACGCCATCTTTGAATCTACCATCTTCTCTACAATTCAGCAGACTATTCCAATGTTTCCTCCATAAATTCATACATGCTCGGAGCTACAGTCTTTAGTTTCCCTAATTTGATTGCTACAACAGTTTGGTGCAGTCTTGTAACCCTTTGCAACTCCCCAATTCTTCTCAAATAACCCTCGAGTATAACTCCTGTGCGCCCACTTATCAAACTCTTGGTACTCACGCATTTCAGCCTCCCTTTTCCCTTTAAGAGAGCGCAACATTATTAAAAGGCAGTGTTTTCTCTCCTTTATTTTGTGACAGCACTCATCGTACTCACTGTTCTCTCAAACTGAACGAAAACCTATAGCTTCGCTGAAGCTTGAAAAACTGTTCTAGAGTTCTCTCGTTCAGTTCAGCTCGCGGTATATTGGTAAGTGCTCCAACAGAGCAGGTGTGCAAGTTGCGGCTTGATTCAACAGTGAGCTGAACAAAGTTAATAAGCTTGTCCTCTGTGCAGTTGGGTATAAAGAAAATTAAAAGTAAAAAAAAATCTGTCAAATTTATCTGTTTCTTTCGCCTTCGCTCTACATAAAAACAATAAATGTCTGGCAGTTTTTTCCCCGCGTCTGTGATTTATTTACGCCGTTGATTGAATATTACAACGACGCAGACGAAAGCAATAAAAAAGGACTTCACTTCAGTGAGAATGAATATTGAATTGCGCATATTAATACACTCCTACAAACATATATTGACACAAGTACGTGTATGTATTTTGTTTGTTCGTGCGAAAAAAGTTTGGTAAATCGAAGCCGTAAATAACTATCAGCCAAATAATTGAAACAGGTAGGCAAAGTTAATTTAAAAGTTTACAACTCATGTTTGCGTAGCCAAAGCCAAATCCAATCGCTTGGCGGTCATATGTATACACATATATATTATTTTATATATGTATAAGCACACAGAACGTATGACAACTGTTGTATGTGTGGTGAATTTCGCATACACGCGCGGCTAACCGATATTTATTTGAAATTTATCCATCGTTTTTTAGTTAAATTTATTGCTTTAAGAGCTACCACGGATTCCAAGTGAAATACGTAAATTTCGATCATCTGATTGAAGCATACATTTCATAAATTAAATATTTATAGAAAATTTAAGAAATTCAACTACCGCCCCGTTCTGTAGACCTGAGCCTGCGTACAAATAACTAAAAATGTGTGCGAAAAAATAGGTAAAGTAAAACACCTTTTTACACGTATTTTTCCCACTCTTCAGTCTCATTCGTGATTTCCCTGGATAGCATTTCGATTAAATTATTTTTATTCTCTTACTCACAGGTAGAATATGTGACTTGTGACTTGCACGAATATGCACAGCAATCACATATAATCTACAGACTTTCGACTTTGATATTATTTTTTTTTTTGTATTTTTTTTTTTATTATTTTCTTAAACCTATTAATTCTAAAATATATACAGCGGCGAAGAACTGTTAAGGTACCTGCTTGGAACATAAAAGTGCTCTGCCCCATCCACTAAAAGGGCAATTCCATAGCCTGGGTCAGTTTCCGTGATATAAGCCTCCTTAATATCGCAAATAACGTCTTATTGAGCGTTTTGTGTAAAGGAATGAAGCCCACCATCAACAAACTGATTGGACCTTACCAGTGTGACTTTAAATCTGGTAAATCAAGCTTTGAAGAGATATTCACCATACGTCAAATCTTTGAAAAGATCTTTGAAAAGAGAATCGGGTTGTTAAAGTAGCCTTCGACGGCACAGTAATAAGCTGCCTCTGTGCCGCTCTGTTCGGCAAAACTTATACGGCTGTGTAACGTGTTGCTGGAGCTATCCAAGCCGTTCTATAACAAACGAGTTTCCAGGCAACTTGTCCTCAACAGCCGCGCTGTGAGTTTTGCCTTCTCCAGGCCTGGCAAAAAAACGAAGCATATGGGCTCAGTAGTGAACGAAGGCAAGGCGAAATACTCGTACCTCGTGTCATCAAAGAAACAGTCATCACTTCGTGACTCGGCTCCAATGTCACAACTGTGAAGTCGAAGAGAAATTCGTCTATCTTGGAGCCAGTATTAACGCCAAAAATAATGTCGGTCCGAAAATCCAACTCTGAACCACACTTGCCAATCGGTGGTACTTTGGACTGAGTAGGTAATTGGAACTTTAAATCCTCCGAGATGAATAAAGACCAAACTCTATTAACCACTGATTTTATGGTGCGGGGGCATGTAATGCTGAGCTGTACGAGGTACACAGTGACCTTGCCAGAGTTCATGCGAATGATCATGCGGTCCGGATGGATATGAATACTCCAGTATCCGCAAGTGGAAGTTGAGTAAGAGGAATATCGGCACTCCGTAGGAAAGACGATGTGGATAAGGACATAATATAGCAAAAAGAAATAAAGAATGTACTGGTTCGGTTCGCGCAACGTATAATGTGCTGCGTCCAATTTTCGTTCGACATAATCGCCAAGCAGAGTAATGCGGACAACTATGGATCGGTTTAGCATCACGTACATAATGCATATCCCAAGAGTTGCCGTACTGTGTGCTCCAAAGACTCTTACGAAACAGAGTCTCAAAGAAGATAATTGCAGCAAGGTATACCCCTAAATGCAGCCCAACAACCTTTTAAGTTTATATAGGAGCCCAATACATTTTTCACTCATTCTTCGACATTGAGTTTGCCCGAAAACTTGTTATTCAACCCAATTCCCAATGCACATACCGCGTCACCACCTTTCATCCACATTGGATTATCTTGCAAATTAGGAACACATGCATCCAACCCCTATGAGCGAAGGTAGCCCCTATTGATTCCAACCCATCCCCTGAGAAATATTCAAATACTTATTAAACGCTTCAGATATGTTGAGGAAGATGCCCACGGCAATTAATAATTTTCGAGTGCCTTTTTTACCTTTCACATGACTGTAGACACAGCATCTACCGATTTGCCTTTCGTGTAGGCGTACTGTGCTTTTCAGGGTTGCCCCTGATCAACAGTTTGCTTGGTGTGAACATCTATTAGGCGCTCCAATAATTTTAGATAAATCGAATTTAAGCTCATTGGGCGATAGACCTTAGTGTATAGGTGCCTTGCTTAATCTACTTTGTGACCGAACCCTCCTTAAGGCATCGAGTTTGCTTAGGAATTTTCTAATCTTGGCAAACGGCGTTTCACACCTTGGAATCTATGATTCCATCTAAGACTGATTAATCTTATTTACAGCATATTTTAAAATAGAATATTATCGCTCAGAATTGTTAAAAGCCCCATTGATTCGCTAAAGAAATGTTTATATTATTTTGAATAAGCCTTCATCCCAATACATCCCTTCAATCCCATCAAAACCCACCTTCTCTCACACCATTCCCTAGTTCACTTCATATCCATTTTCATCAGTTTCCTTTTCATTTTATTTTATTAAAGCGACAGCAACTTGTGAAGACATCCTTCATGTAAAAAATAATATTCTACTATTACTTTCCGGAATTTGAATTTCAGATTACATTAGGGCACTTTTTACACTGTTATCTCTAGGAACTCCTGCTTGTGTGCATGTCTTTTCCTCTTACGTCAGCTCAATTTGTATGCGGCAATTTGCATTGATAAAAAAATTCTTCTCAAACATTTACATAACTAAAAATATTCCGATAAATATAAAATCTAACATGTGTTGTTTTTGTGCTTCTAAATTTGTTTTTTTTTTAGCCTGTGACTAAATTTGAATTTCGTTTCTTTTTTTCTATTTTATAGAATTCATGGAGCACAAGGAGATATTGTAAACAAAGCGACGATACGTCAAAGGCGGAACAACCACAACGCACAGGTGGGTGATAATAATGCTAATGTACATACAGGTATATAATATATATTTACAACACTGTGTGTGCTTCCGGATAAGCTTAAGTCCTGTCCTCCATGCTGACACAAGCCCTCCCCGCTCCCTTTATATCTCAAACGGATGCACATAACAAGTCAAAACAGCTGTCAACAACAATGATCTGTCGGCTTGTTCATGAATTTTGCGGCATGTGCCAACACTTGCAACACACACATTGTGAGGCAATTGCTTATTCTGCCTGCACACAGCCACTCAATGTCGTTCGAATGTTAATTAAATGTGATGGTATTCTCCTCAAATTCATTTCGCTGATGATACACACCCTGCAGGGATAAGGTGACCCAATATTCAAAAATCTATCATACTATTTGGATATTTGTACAGTAGTTCACGACTGAGCTTCATTCACTGTTGCGCTCTCTTTTCAAGTGCGTAAAATGATGTGGTTCGCTACATCGTCACGATAGTTGAGTGGTAAGAGGTTATCACAACAGCGTGTAATGTTCAGGGTTCGAGTCTCGATACAGGCAAATTAATTTCCTTTTTTAGTTTTGTGGATGTTAAAGCTCAACATACCTGAATGAACTAGTATTTAATTGGTATGAAGTTGATGCATTTGCGGTCAACTGACAGTTCGTATGGGAAATAGATGGAAGGTGAAATACTGGATTGCTTCACAAGAAACTGGCAATTTTTCATACAGTCGGTGTTGACAATTTTCATAACTGGAGATGAAAAATGGCTAGTTTACAACGTCAGTGGAAAAGGATTATGATCCAAGCAAGATGAAGCGCCACAAACCACTTCAAAGGCTGATATTCACCAAAAGAAGATTATGCTGTCAGTTGGGGGGGATTGGACGATTACTTCGTATATCTACGGTGAACAACTGGTCAAATTGAATACATCCATCAACGAGAAGCATTCAATCGTAAAGGTATCATATTCCACCAGGACAATGCTAGAACGCACACATCTTTGGTCACTCGTCAAAAGCTGTGAGAGCTTGGCTGGGAGCTGTTGATGCATCCACCATATAGCCCTGATCTTGCACCGTCAGATACCTTTTTTTTCAATCCTTACAGAACTCATTAAATGCTAAAAATTTCAAAAATTTCGAGGCTACCAAATCGCACCAGGTTCAGCTTTTTGCAGATAAAGACCAGAAGTTCTATGAGCGTGGAATAATTATGTTGCCGTAAAGATGGCGAAAGGTCAGCCAACAAAATGGATTTTACATAATTGATCAAAGTTCGGCCGCGGTAGCCGAGTGGTTAGCATTGCGTACTGACATTCGGAAGGCTCGGGCTCAAATCCCCGTGCGATTTAATTTAAATAATAAATTACACTCTGAGTGTAATTCGGACATGAAATAAAGCTCCTCATAAGAAAACCATCAGCCGTTCGGAGGCGGCTCAGTATAAACTGTAGGTCCCTCCATTTGTTGGAAAATCCTCATGACGCAAAACCACAAATTGGAGGAGGAGCTCGGCCGAAAATCGCTCCAGCGGTTACAAAGCGCCAACTATATATATATATAAAGTTAAAAAAAATGTGTTTACTTTCTTTTAAAAAATCGCAGGCTTTTTTTTTGGGCAACCCGATAGTTGGCGTTAAAATACAAACTCGTTGAATTCTAGTCAACAACTAGTATTTTTCCCTGCAGGGTACTTTTTTGTGTGTGTGTGAGTGTGTGTAAATAATATGTTGGTGCAGTGGCCATATCATGTCATTATCCCAAGTACATGGCTGAATATGTGGGCAGAGCATTAATTGTGAACAAGCGACCGCTGGCAATGTGTTTGCCTGATTATGATTAGAAAAAGTACTCTTTAGTCAAAACATCTGGCGCCAACATGCTGGGAGTACAAAAGGAACATGGGGGTTGTTAAATAACTATTCTGAATGTGTCATAATTCCACAAACTATTCCTATGGAGCAAATGCTTGGTAAATCCTTGTTTGACATTTTTCCCTACCTTTTGTTCAACGAATGTATTTTTATGAGAGCTGAGTGAAAAATTAGAGCTCATCATTTTGTTCGGTTTTCTATTTATGTTTATTGTTTATTTCAGAAAGACATGTGCAATGGTATTATTTAAAGTATTCCTCACCTGAAACTATAACATTCCACTGGCTTGACCGCCACGTATGAATCAAGCCAATTTTCAATAACCTGACCTGATGTGAACCATATTCAAATGAAAATATTCGACCTCATCTGAAATAAATGGTTGTCAGAAGGAGCAAAGTCTAAACTGTAAGGCGGTTGATGCAAAACTTTCTAAACCGTTGTTTTCCAATACGACGCTGAGGCTGTCTCGTGTCTGCTCACAAATTCCAGGCGCCTTTCGGCAATCGTCCGCTGCAATTTGATGATTTATTGTTGGCATTAAATTAGCATTTCAAATTTTATTTGTATCTGATCACCACGTAGATTCATCAGCTAACCCTCCGGCTTAGACCCCATCTCTTACATATTGCTCTTTTCCATATATAGAGAACCTATTGTATCTTTGGACGATATTATCATTCCAGTTTAGCTTTTTGTCTAAGATGACTCCCAAAAATTTGACCCTCGTCCGCAAGCTTAGTAGAATACCGTGCGAGGATCATTTATCTCGTTGTGAATGGCACTAGTTCTACTTTGTTTGAGTTAACATAAATGCCTCAAAGTGGTAGCCAGGGCGTTATCTTTCCCTGTTCCCTGTATCGAGTCAGAGAGGGTTTTCGCAAAATTGTCTCTGTATCCAATGGCGATATCATCGGTGTAGGTAATGGCTTTGGCTCCACCCCATTCCGTTTGCGTTAATAACGTATTTTCTGTAAGGTTCCAGAACAATAGGCAGAGAACTCCGCGCTATTGAGAGCCTCTGCTTACATATGTAGGTACTCGATATCCTTCCAGGTTCGAGGGTTACTATACAACAGTGTTTAGCAAGAGTTGGTTCCTGAAATCTACTAAATGAGTGTCGACATCTAAGCTCAACATTGTAGCTGTAACTGACCTTGGTAAGATATTTTTGAGTGCCCCCCTTTATACCTAGGAATACAACAAGAGAGAATTCCTTACCTTGAAGGTAAGTAGTCCATGATTCAACTAAAGTTAAGAGTTTCCTCCTATCAACGGTTCGAAAAAGACAGTTAACTATGAATAACTTAGGGCAACTATGAGTGCCTTTCCCTGCTTTGGGATTGAAGACGACTGATACTCGTCTCCATGCCAATCGTATAAGGTAAAATTTTAAGCAAGCTCCATATTATGCTTTCAGCCAGCTTTTGGATAATGCTCACAAGATTTCTTGTAATGTTCTATTGACGTTCTCCATGTTCTTTTTTGTTCTCCTTACTGCTTCTAATGTCTTTGAGAGATTCTGGTCTTATGGCGTTCATGGAAGATATTCCTCCGCTGGGTTTCACGGTGTTTAAGATCACCAAAAGAGGTTCCTCTTGGATTCCGATATTGGTATGAGGGCCTGGATTTGTTTCCTAGGTTTAACCGGGCAACGTGTAGGAAAAACTGTTTCAACAACGCACCGAACTCACTAGAATTTCACTTTAACAATGGTGAAAACGGTTCGTAAAACTAAAACATTTGTCGATCGTCGTGTAGCACTTCGCGGACGTCAGTACAGAAATTGGTGGAAAAAAGAAACTGTTCGGACAAATTAGTGAGGCGAAGGACTGTGAATAATGCTGCTGTAGCCCAAAGTATTAAACAAGCCCCAGATTTGTCCATTCCACAAACGTCATTACAACGTATTTTGCCTAAGGCCTTGGGTCTTAAAGCTTATAAAGTGCAGTTAACACAAGAAATCATGCCGGCCGATCATCAACAACGTCGTGTCGTTGCTGATCGGATCTTTGAAATGCATGAAATTGATACAGAATTTCATCGAAAAACCATCTTGGCTTAAATAAGCAAAACTGGTGAAGTTTATGATCCGCCATTGGATCTTAGTTCTTCGAAAATGGATGGATGGCGGTATCGAGCGATGATTCATGATTTTTTATGGACGCAATTGGATGGTATTGATCTGGACAACGTTTATTTTCAACAAAACGGCACTGTATGCCACGCAAGCAAGGAAACCATCGAACTTTTAATTGAAAAGTTTCCGGACCGTACTACCATCCCACGAAGATGTGGTCGAGATCTAGTGATTTAACACCTTGCGACTTCTACCTTTGTTGCCATGTGAAAGTTAAAGTCTACGTCAACAAACCAACGTCGGATCAAGACCTCAAAAATGGAATTCGTGAAGATATTTAGGGCATACAACAGCCACTTTGGGATTTGGTGATGGAAAATTTCATTAAAGGGATATGAAGCGTAGACTTGGCGGCAATTTGACTACTAATGTTTTCCATTATTAATAGCTTCCTCATCGTCTTTACATTGAAATAAAGATCTGATCATTTACTTAAAAAAAATGCATTCTTCTTTCAATATCGAAATAACACACCTTATTGGAAACCCCTGTACTCTCCGAGAACACTTTCGGATACCAATTTTTATTTTTATTTATATTATTTTTAATAATTACATTTTAAAATATTAATACATAATTTAGCTTATTTAAGGGCTGTAAATATATATGTAGTGTACATAAAACCTTTGGATTGTCTACTTTTTGGCGTTTGTCACGGCATTTGCCAAAGGACATTTACTTCTGTCGAAGTCAGTGATTTCATTTAATTTTTATATATATATGTTTGTATATGTTTGTATGTAAGTAGGTCTAATATTTAGTATTAAGTCCAAATATATATATATAAAATACATGCAGTTTATACATAATTGCCCTACACCGTTATCGTTGTCGTTTAGCATAACCAATACATTTCGCTCTATTAGACAAGTCAATTAGATAGCGCACAGCATTGCATTGCGCACAACGGGAATTAATTTAAAGCACTTAAATGCTAAAGGGATAACATAAATATTTTAATTTTCTCGATATTCGCTGCCAACTTGTCAACCCG